AAGGGCCTGCGTGAGGACGGGACCCCCCCAGACGTCCACGTGCACCTCATCTGAAGCTGGAAAAACCGAGGCCCTGGGCCCCCAGGGTGGCAGGCCGGGCCCCCAGCCCAGCGCTCAGACCCCACCCGTTCCAGGCCTCGTTCTCTGCTGGAGCTCTCTGCAAAGCCCGAGAGTGCTGTGCAGCTGGGAAGCGAGGTCCGCAGGACCCCAGGCACAGTCTTGTGCCCGTTAGACATCAGGTAGGGGTGAGAGTGGTGGGCTCTGGGAGCCTTCCCCAGAGAAGGACCCGGACAGTGGGTTTTGCAGGATGCGTAGGAGTGCGCAGGGTGAGCACATCTTCTTGTACTCGCTGTGCACTGGCTGATCCCTGGGGAGGAGTTCTCACGTGACCTGGTGGGCCCAGTGAGGGTGGTACACGGGATTGATTTCTTCTTGGGGCGGGGGGGTTCAGCTCATGTCACTGAGGGTAGGAGCTTTCCAGCTTCGGCCCCAGGGAGAGACTCGTGGTCAGCCTCAGGAGACAGGAAGATAGGAAGCTGTGGTCAGCAGCGGGGGGCAGAGCCACCTGTGGAACTGCATCTCAGCTGCACCGCTGACCGCGTGTGCGTCCTGGTACAGGTTGCCCAACCTCCGTGAGCCCATCTGCAAACTGGGTACAAAATGCGGGCCTCTGCCCACAAACTGTGGGAGAAGTCAAATCAGCGAGGACACGGGAGGTCTGGGGCCCCAGGCGCCCGGCGAGGAGGCAGCGGAGGCGGTCTGCACATTGTGGGGGCCTGTCACCAGCCCGTGTTCTCTAGGCTTTCCCCAAAGCCAGACGCTTGCGACAGACCCTTAGCAAGCTAACTCACGCTACGGTGTTCGTGGCTGCCATCATGCCCCAGTCACACCCCTTAGCCCTTCTGCCTTTGAGGGTCCTGCTCCGCCCCTGACCGGCTCCCCACCTCCAGCACCCTCCTCACAGGATGGCCCCTTTCCGTGCATGTGTTTTGGCCTCCCGGAACCCCAAGGACCCCCACGCTTCTGATCCCCATCCCAGGCCCTGGGCCAGGCCCACCGCAGGGAAGGGGCTCGGGAACGAATGACGCCCTTCATCAGGCCTGGTGGTGGAGACAAGGAGGGCGGGCCACGGAGTCCGCAGATGCCTCCTCGGCTGCACCGATGAACTGGGTCCGGGGCCAGCGAGCACGTGACTGGTCCGGTCCTCAGTTTCCCCGTCCGTAAGATGGAGGGGCAGCAGAGTGGCTCCGAGGACTGACGTGGGGCTCTCCGCGGGGGCTGCAAGCCCAGGAGGGCAGCAGATGTGTCTGTGGCCCGGAGCACCAGGGTTTCCGTGAATAGGAAGATACGCTCACTGAGAGGCTCTGATCTGCGTGGGTCTGGGTTTGTTTATTGAGTCCTTCCCACGGAAAGGAAGCCTGGCCAGGTGGTTCCCTGGCCCCCGCGTGCGTCTGTCCCCTCCACGACCACTTCCCGCCAGCCAGGCTGGGGCCCCACGGGGGCTGGTGCCGGGCGCACCCTCAGGACAAGCGCCCGAGAAGCCTGCTGCCCGAGGTGTCCCGCCATCCGCCCGGCCCCCCGCTCGGTCTGTGACTCTCCCGTCCCCGGCCGTGTCCTTGCAGCCTCCTCGGGGCAGGCTGGTGGCACAGTGTCCGGCCCGGGGTTTGCTCTGCAGCCTTCCCGGGGTCGTGGGAACGCGCCCGCTCAGTCACTGACCAGCGGTGAGGCCTCGTGCACCGTGACTGCCCTCTCAGCCTCTGTCTCCCCCTCGGTGGGATGGTCCCTACCTCACGACACTGTCACAGTCGGCCTGCGGTGCGAGCCCCTGAGTGTACCCACCAGCGTGGTCCTCACGCCTGCTCGCGGACGGACAGCCATGACGTCTCTGGCGGGCAAGGCCCGTGGGGTGGCCGTGGGCCACCCGCCTCCCCGGCAGGTCGGGGTTTCTGGGCTGGCCCTCCCATCCCGCTGGGGGCCCACAGGGCCTCCCGCGCCAGGGCGGACTGTGTGTGAGGGGAAGCTTCCAGGTGCCTCCTCGTGTGAGCGGGGACACAGAGGCCAGCACGCGCCCCCGCGGCAGCTTCCAGAGGCCGGGGACAGCTCGATCCCCTGCCCCCACGGGCCTGTCCCTGGGGCCACACGGCCCTGTCCCCGGCGGTCATGCTGGGTCCCCCCACGTTTGCGGGCCCGGACGTGCACGTCTGCCCCTGGCGCGCCCCGGTCAGGGGTGCGTGGCAAGCGCTGGGCAGTTAGCACCCTCCCGCAGCTGCCCGTGTCTCTGAATTCGGGAAAAACAAACAGCTCTGCGGGGATGGGCCGTTTCCTCCAAGAGCCGAAGGACGTCGTTAACTTGACAGAGCAAGTCTGTGATGGGGTCTGAGAGGCGTGTGCCCTCCCCGGGGTGGGGGTGGGGGGATGCCTGGTCAGGCACTCCTGATCTCCGCTGGCCGGCCGGTCCCCAGGAGCCCCAGCACCCCAGACGGCGCAGGGCCGGGGAATGGCACGAGGGGGCCGCCCTGCGGGGCGCGGGTCTGTCTGCTGGGGGAGAGGGTCTCCGGGGACCCTGCCCCACTAGCCCCCAGGGCCG